AGTTATTGTTTATATGATTTGTTTTTTAGACTTTCAATAATATTATATAATATATACAGCCACAGCGTGATAAATTATGTAGTATTTTAAACGAGATTAAATAAATGAATACGAATTTAAATTTTACCTATGTATAATTGCAGTGTATAATAAATACAAATAATACAATTATAATAGATAATTGATTCGTTCAAAATAATAAAAAATAAAAAATAATAATGATTTGGTAAGTATAAGAAAATAGTGAAATTTTCAATAGTATTCTTGAGAAATTATGACCTTCAAAAGTTCAAATATAAAACCTAACCGAATTGATCTATGACAAGAATACTACGATAATATTAATATAGCATATAATATCAATCGGCATTTTAACTTGTTGATTTTAAAGAGTAGCTACTTATTGTGTACATATCATATGCATATAGACGGTTAATGGATAATTTATAAGCTCATTACCAGTAGCTTATCTAACGACATTATCTTGGTATATTAATACTTGTAATACATAATATATGTATAATATAAAACTATTAAAATTTGAAATAAAGTAATCACTAGTATTTACTATTGAGTATAGTAAGTTTAATAATATAATTATGYACAACAAAAACTATTTTGTATTGATTATTCACATCAGTTTTCATACAACCAGTACTACAGGTGAAATCATTGGTTGGTATTTACTTGATTAAGTTGTACCAATACATTAATACATGTTTTTATACATTTTAATGTATGTAATAATTTATTATTATCGATTGTATATTTTACTGAGTATAATAATAACTAATCGACATTTGTTTTGAACAATATATGATTATACTTGCTTTATAATACAATACAAGCATACAATAAATATATTATATTATATTATTATTGTAACCACAAGAAACTTACTACTAAGATACTTAGGTATTTACATAAATTTGAATCCTCGGAGTTTAATTTGTGTCACGAGATTTGATGAAATCTGATTTTATTTAAATAATTTTAGTTTTTACTTCATAATGTATATTGTACCGAAAATTATATTCAAATTTTAACAGGATGATGAATGCATTCAATTGACTAATTCATAACTCAATAGCACAATTAAATTGATTGGCTACAATTAACATTTCATTCAATGACTGTATAGCAATGAAAAAATTGACAAAAAACCTATTTATTGATTTACGTGATAAAATACGTAATTTCGCTTTCAGCATTTATTATTTTCTTTCTTGTACTTATTCATTTTTATCGGCACATATAGACGATTAGTTATAATATACTAACAGTATATATGTTTTTGCTATATACTGTAATAGTCT